GTCCTGAATTCTCTTCAGCATCCCGATGTTTTTCCTGCTAGATTCGGTGATCCATCTGTGGTAACGTTGGTGAGCGTTCTCCAAGGTAACGTGTGCCTCTGTATGACTGCTGACACGCTGTAAAATAAATCCTCTCCTCGTGTTTTTCCTTTCAGGGATTCCATATCCAAAAACTCCTCCGTTATCTCTAAATTCTCATTAATCCCTCTGATAAAAATTAAAAGCTGAGCAGGTCCTTTATATCAATGCTTTCATCCAGTGCCAAAGAATATAATGTAAATCTCTTCTGCCAAAGAATATAATGTAAATGTCTTCGCTTTTTTGTTTAGCTTGCTAGTTAAGTGTTTGTCAATTACTTCAATACGGCGAGCCACTGACCTGCGTGATAAGCAATTTTTTTCAAATTTTTTCTTGCTCTCAGGACATAAAATACTGTACTGGCTATCTCTACCATGCACTCTTTGAGAGACTCCCCTTCGAAGAAAGGCTTGCTGGCTTTTGCTAGTTTGAATGCCAGTGAAAAAACGTCATCGTACTTGCTTCTTGGATGGAAGTTGTTTGAAGAAAGGTGTTTTGCTGAGCCTGCAAACTTGCTACCAAACCTGCCAGCGGGAGCTGTATCTTCTTGTGTTGAAAGGTTGCTGGCATAATTAGCATGCCTGGTGGAAAAGTGATGGCTGATGTTGTATTCTTTTAAAACCACAACACTTCTTTGGCATACTTTAATCACTTCTTTAATCTTGACCAGCCTTGGATCGGACTTCGGTAAAAAAGTATTTAGGTGTCCATTCTTACTTAAACACCCGACACTCACTGTTGACTTTTCTTTTCTTTGACATTGCTGCAGATGGCTTGCGATCTGACCAGTAGAAGTAGAGCGATTATTATCTCTCTCTCTCTCTCTCTCTCTCTCTCTCTCTCTCTCTCTCTCTCTCTCTCTCTCTCTCTCTCTCTCTCTTTCCGGCTCTTTCATTCTTTCAGGGTGCGGGCTCTGCAAAATCAAGCTACCTGGTGTTGAATGCCTGTCATTAAAAGTCAAAATTAAATGAATTGCATCATTCACATCAAACCTTATACTGTATTCTGAACCAATCTTCGGCGGGCCGGATTAAAAAGCCCAATGGGCCGGATCTGGCCCGCGGGCTGTAGTTTTCCCACCGCTGCTTTACACCGACTGCACCTCAACACACCCACCTGTTAAACTGATAAAAGTTTGCAGACGACTCCACAGTCATCGGCCTCATCAAAGACGACGACGAGTCTGCGTCCAGGTTGGTACAGCCTGGAGCTGAACACGCTCAAGACTGTAGAGGTGATCGTGGACTTGAGGAAACATCCTTCACCACAGCTGCCCTTCACACTATCCAACTGCCCAGTGTCAACCGGCGAGACCTTCAAGTTCCTAAGAATCACAGTCTCTCAGGACATGAAGTGGGAGATCAACATTAACGCCATCCTGAAAAAGACCCAGCAGAGGATGTTCTTCCTGGGGCTGCTGAGGAAGCACGGTCTGCACAGACAGTTCTACACAGCAGTCATCGAATCAGTCCTGTGCTCCTCCATCAGACTTTGGTTTGAGGCTGCCACAAAAGAGGATAAAATCCGACTGCAACGGACAGTTAGGACTGTGGACAAAAATCATTGGCACTGCGCAACCCACTCTTGAGAACTTGCACACCGCAAGAACCAAGACAAGGGCATGGAAAATGCTGCTGGACCCCCCACACCCTGCCCACCACCTTTTCCAGCTACTCCCCTGAGGCAGGCACCATTGATCCATCCATCCATCCATTCATCCATCCATCTTCTACCACTTCTCCGGGGCCGGGTCGCGGGGGCAGCAGCTTTAGCAGGGAAGCCCAGACTTCCCTCTCCCTAGCCACTTCTTCCAGCTCTCCCCGGGGGATCCAGAGGCGTCCCCAGGCCAGCTGGGTGACATAGTCTCTCCAGCGTGTCCTGGGTCGTCCCCGGGGTCTCCTGCCAGTGGGACATGCCCGGAACACCTCACCAGGGAGGCGTTCAGGAGGCATCCGAATCAGATGCCCAAGCCCCCTCGTCTGGCTCCTCTCGATGTGGAGGAGAAGCGGCTCGACTCTGAGCCCCTCCCGGATGACCGAGCTTCTCACCCTATCTCTAAGGGAGAGCCCGGACACCCTGCGGAGAAAACTCATTTCGGCCGCTTGTATCCGGGCTCTCGTTCTTTCGGTCACGACCCATAGCTCGTGACCATAGATGAGGGTTGGAACGTAGATCAACCGGTAAATTGAGAGCTTCGCCCTTTGGCTCAGCTCCTTCTTTACCATGACAGACCGATACAAGGTCCGCATTGATCCATGCGCACCAAAACCAGCAGATATTCAAACAGCTTCTTCCCTCTCGCCATCAACTCCCTAAACAGTGACTCAAATCTATAGTGGCTCTTTGCATTTTAGCAGACCCCTGTGGACCAGTATTACCACACTGATCATTGTAGCTCTCTACATGAACAATTCTTGTTCATCAATATTCCACAGCACGAGACACTCAAGGACTTTCTGTATAGTCGCACAACTAAAATTGTACTATTATACTATTATCTGCACCAACTGCACAACTGTCAAAGTATTGTACTGCACCACTGATCACTTTATCTCTGCTCGATACTCTTGACATTGTCACACAGCTGTCATTGGGTGATACAACTGCACAATGGTACCCGTACATTACGGAAAGTCTTTCAATACTTATTTGTCATGTCCTTGTTAATTCGTAGTTGCTTGTTATTACAATACTAGGGTGGCCTGCATTACCAGAGACAAATTCCTTGTCTGTTCTACATACGTGGCCAATGAAGATGATTCTGATTCTGATTGAGGTAACAAATTTGATTAATGACGTTATATTTGCTCATCAGCTACTAGCTTTGCAGTGAGCAAACATAGCATATGTTGATATGCTATGTATACTTTCCAGTATTTCCTCTTTGGTTCAAGTCACTTTTTCTTTGTTTGTGCAACCCACATCCAGTCTGTTGTCATAAGTAGGAGGGTAATGCAGAAGAACCGAACGAAGGGCAACAAAGGACACGTCAACAAAGGACATGTCACACAATGCGGCAAGATGAACAAAAATTCTTGCTTGCCAGACTTTCGGTCGTGAAGTGTCCCAGATACCAGACGACCAATCCTGGTCACACTACACGGGCTACAATGGGTTAAGACAACTCAAAATTGTCCAAGAGACACTACGTTTGTTTGCGACATGCCTGTCGAGTCAAAAAACTGCAACATTGACGTAGTCTGACATCGACATAAGACTGCATTGTAATTCTTGCAGCGCTGCCTGTGCAGATTTCCTTCAGGATATTGTCCTATATTCACATGCATTTTTTACTTTGGTTTTATTTTATGCTTTGCTGTCTTTTTCTGTATCACAAGGTCTGTCAATAAATTTCAAAATAAAAAGTAAAAGAGTTAAAGGGAATTGTGTCTAGTTTGTGGTACTCAATACATATACAATAACATGTAATATACAATTCAAAATAACTGCCATCAATCCATAGCCATCAGAACTGCTGTCTTTTTCTGTATCTGTACTAATAAAATGACAACATAACTGAATTAATTTGACTGCCTTATCCATGCGGAATGACACAAGAAATTGTCATTGTGATGGCACTGGCATGTTCAATGACACAGATATTGTACTTCGGATTTTGTGAGGAGAAAAAATGGCTTTTGCGGGGGAACCGTGATTTTTTGCTATTTGTACTATTTGTATTTTTTTGATAAATGCACATTTTGCTAATTTTACTTCTGATCTGATCAATGTACCAACGCGGCTGAGAGAAGCTGTAATGTAGTGAAATCATATGAGTAAAATTAGGAAAAACCACTATGCTAAAGAAAAAAAAATTGTTTCTTTTCATTTTGTTTTTTATGTTTTTATCCAAAATGTTTTTCTTTGCTTCACTAGTGTGTGTAATTTAACAGCATTAAATCCACCAATGAAATCAAAATATGGCATACACCCTGAAAGTGAAAAAAGAGACTCAAAGGCCGATCATCAAAAGTAGTGGTGTACTGGCAGCCAGTTCTCATGTTCACTTGAAAAAGCTCGCACATGATTCTCAATTACAAATGGTCAAATTAGTCACAGACTGTACTAGCCAAGTCCACAGTTGGAGCTCACAGAGGAGAGGCAATGCTACAAAGGAAGATTAAGGAAAATTAAGGACAGCAGGAAAACTCCTATCTGGATGAACAGATCGTCTGCTCAAGGCAGAGCCACTATTTTCTCATGTTTTTCTCATTGCCAATCTTAACAATACAAAGATTATCTCAATGCCGTTTTTTAATTTTCTTTTTTAGTCTTTTGTACCCGAACTTTTTTTGTACATCTACGCAGAGTAAATAAATAAATGAATAATTTTGATATTCATTTTGGTATATTTTATTTTCTATAACTACCTTAGAGAAGAGCTTTTCACCCAGTTTAGCTATGCTTCTAAACAAGAAAACAAAGTTTAGTTTAATACACAATTTGAATTTAAGAAGCACAATTGTACATTGCAATACATTTTTATAAAAACAAATAATTGTTCATTAATTATATTGCTTCACAGTTGCCTGGGATTAATCTGCAAAAAAAAAAAAGCTCCACATATTTAGAAAGCTAAATTAAAAATCATCAAATTAAGTTGATGATTTGCCAAACTGCTATGCAAAGAAGCCTTATACACACACAGACACACGCACGCACACACACACACGCACACACACGTATGTGTAATACGAATCAATACTGTTTTTGAACAAGCCATTGACTCAACCTTAATGAAGGTTCATTTACCCGAATACAAATTTAATTACTTTCCCTCTTTAACAAACAAACTGATATCATTGAATCACATCAGTCATTATTATACAGTCTGTAAACGTGACTGTTTCGATTCAAGAGATAGATAGATAGATAGATAGATAGATAGATAGATAGATAGATAGATAGATAGATAGACTAACCTCTACAAAATAAAAACATGGCAGCAGCGTAACGCTGTCCTTTGTTTCCTTTCCAAATTTCAGACGCTTCAGGGTAGTCATTCCGAGCCGGATGCTGATCTCTTCCGTTGCCAAGAAACAAGGCGCCGTGCTTGATACCTGTTTTATTATTGTCAAAATTCTCTCGTTTTCCCGCAAAATATTGTCTCTCGCCTGTCGAGATAATGACCTGATGCTGACAGTTGCCCTGCGTTTCGGCTGTGGTTGTCCTAAATGCGTGTATCCGTCGATCTACCAAGGTTCAATAGGATTTGCATGACGTCCGCCCAAATTCAAACTACGATCACCAAGGAGAGCCGTTCCTCAAGCCCACCACTCGAATGTGAAATGCTACTCCCCCGACTCCACTCCGCTGCTATAGATCGGGGTGTTTAACTTGCAGCTCGCGAGCCACGAACCACGCACACACACACACACACACGCACGCACGCACGCACGCACGCACGCACGCACGCAGGCACGCACACACACACATAATGCGCGAGGGCGGCGTGGGCAAACAAGGGCACTCTGCTTTATTATACGTTCACTTGAATACAGTAACACGCACACCTAGATATACAGTGCAGTAAAAAAAAAAAAAAAAGCATTTGCCCTCTTATCAACCCACTACTTTTTTTTGCAGTTTCCCCACTTTAAGATAAGCAAATACAGTAAATTTAGACAGACAAGATAAACCAAAAAAATAAACTTTTAAATGGGGATTTTATTCATTAATACAATACATCACACCTTCACAACAGCTGGAGCCGTAACAAAGCGCTTTACAGAACATTTAACATAAAATGACAAGACTACAACAGAACACATAACATAAACCATCAACAATAATTCAATCGTAACAACTATTCCTATATACGCCTTGTAGCTTGAAGCAGTGATATGAGATAGGAGAGAATCAAAGTCTCCACCAGTGGTTCAGGGACTTCATGTTCACAGCATGCTTGACACAGTCTAGATTAGCTTGAAAGTAAACAAGCTGTCCTGATAACTGACAAATACAGGGATCAATTTTCAACTCTTCTGCCCAATTTAGATCAGCTTCAAGTCCAAGTGCCAACACTGGGTTCCAAATACACATCCGCACCAACGCTCCTCTCTCCTCATCCTTAGTTCCCCTTTTCTCAGCTCCACCAGCCATCCATCCAGCCGCACCAATGCAGACTGTCCAACAGCACCGAGATATCCACTCAACAAAACGGGGCTGTGAAAAATGCTGCCCACCTCATCCGCAAAAAACACATGCAACAGCAAAAAAGCGCTGAGAATCCCCCCATCAAAATCAGTGCTCGGACACAAATCCTGCCGAAGAGGCGCAATCATCAAGCGCAGATTTTTCTCCTTCGACGAATGTTATTAAAGAAAAAAAATATTCAAAGCTGCCTGGCCCAGTGTGAATAATTACTTGAACGCTATAGCTATTAACTTGTTGGACCAGCACAGTGGCCCCTAAATTGAAAAAGAATGCAGAATATTTAGTGGCGCACACCGTCAACCGATTTGTTAAGTAAATACATTTCCTTTCATATAATTAACTGTATTACAGATTTTGTGTGGCAAGTAAAATAAGCCTTTCTATCACATGAGATTGCATGCCCTGATTACAATGTCACCCCTACATCATTTTCCATGGGGAACATATCGATAGAGAGAGAGGCAGTTTGAAGTCCAGTATGGAGTTTCCACAGTCAGTAAGGATAGCTTTGAAGATGGCGGAGAGTGCGCCTGGGCGACACAGTGGGGGACTTGTTAGCCGGTCGGCCTCACAGTGCAGAGGTGCCCGGGTTCGATTCCATCTCCGGCCTTCCAGTGTTGAGTTTGCATGTTCTCCCCGTGCCTGTGTGGGTTTTCTCTGGGTACTCCAGTTTCCTCCCCCATTCCAAAGACATGCATGGCGGCTTAATGGAACACTAAATTTTCCCAAGGTGTGATTGTGAGCATGGATGATTGTTCGTCTATGTGTGCCCTGCGATTGGCCCGCAACCGGTTCAGGGCGTGCCCCGCCTACTGCCCGATGACAGCTGGTATAGGCTCCAGCACGCCCCGCGACCCCTGTGAGGATAAGCGGATCAGAAAATGGATGGATGGATTGATGGACAGTGCGCCAGGATGTGTGGCGATGGTCCTGCTGCTCTGGCTTTGTTTTCTCTTCACAGTGCTTGGTGCTATTCTAACTGAGTCTCTACTGGTTTATGATTACCAATCATTGTTGGATTTTCCACAATACGTCAGAAGTTTGGCTGTGTTTGAGCATGGTGGTGTTGAGAAGACACTGTCTCCGTTTCTGGCATACATACTGGCTGACCTCTTCCGTATTCATGCGCGCTCTTCTTAGAAGTGCCGCCGCTGCAAACACAGCAGTCATCTGGTGAAGCAAAAACGGGAACTGAAAGACGATTTGACCTCTGCTCGTTACCTAATGCACCTAATTACGCTGTCGAGTCCTGTTGACTCATGCTTGATACCAGTCGTTGGCTCTCCCGTGGCATCATGCAATAACTGTTCTCCACGCCTCCATCAACAAGGGGTCAATCTTCAGCTTTTTAGGAAATTTCCCCAAGCTTGGGGATTGGAAGAAGCATCCACCCTTGATTTGTTTCCACAAGGATTGCGCTGTTAAACGAACAAGACCTGTCTTTCCTCTGTCTGACAGAGACTTGGACAGGTGCCGGTGAGTTTAACACTTTAATTGAATTGTTGCCACCTGACTGTGTCTTCTTGGACTCCTCAAGGACTTCATGCCGTGTTGAAGGAATGGTGAGTATTTTTTAAAACAATTTTAAATGTAAACGGTGTATATTCACCACATCAATGACCAGCTTTGAAGCAACTCTCTTTGAAGTAGGCCGCGCTGTCCCCGTGCTTTTGCGCTGTTATTTACTGTCCTCCTAAATACAATGAGGACTTTTTAAAAGAATTTTCAAAACTTCTTGCCAAAATCAGGCTCATATATGATCATATTCTCCTCATAGGGGATTTTTAATATCCATGTGAGTTGTACTGAATAACCACTAGCAAAGTACTTTTTAAGACTTATTGACTCTTAATATTGTGCAATATGTGACCAGCCCGACACATGTACACATATTTTAGACCGAGTTCTTGCTTATGGTCTCCCGGCGTCAAACTTGTCTAAGACTTAGACAATGTAATTTCTGATCACAACAGTTATTTTTTTATGTCATTTTATCCCGTGCTGCTGTTAAATCTGCCATTCTGGAGTGCAACCACTGAATTTGTAATCCTCTCACTGCTGGTCGGTTCTCTGATGCCTTTAATAACCTGTGTGTGCCCTCTTTAAACACAGAGGAACTCACTCCTTGGTTCAACTCATCCAGCCTTGCTATCTTTAATTCAGTGGCGCCATTAAAAACTGTGCTGTGGATGGATGGATGGATGAATGGATGGTAATAATAATAAAAATAATAATAATGTCACTGATGGTGTAGTGGTACACTCGCCTGACTTGTGTGCGGGCAGCGTGGGATCAGTTCCCACTCAGTGATGGTGTGGATGTGGGTGTGAATGGTTGTTTGTCTCTATATGTGCCCTGTGACTGACTGGTGACCAGTTCAGGCTGTATGTAGTCTACCTTCTGCTCACAATCAGCTGGGATATGTTCCAGCAACTCCCTGCGATCCTGTTCAGGATAAGCAGTGTTGAAAATGGATGGATGGATAATGATATTAATAATTTCTACAAAAATAATAGACATTGCATTGGTCGCTGTTTGGGTCCTCATAACAATGATAACAATAATAAATACATTAAGCAGTTGTTTATTGTTTTTCTTTGGAAACCACTCATACATCTTGACCCCCCTCATCCCATTCTTTTAATTTTTTTTAAGTACTCTTTGAAAAAGATGAGACAGTAGCCTTTTGTTACTTCGAGGCTGGCATCAATTACAGTCACACAATTTCATAAAATCTCCACTCTTAGGTTAAAAAATACAAAGTCAGCTGTAGATGGTAGGTTTCAAAATAAAAATTTTCACCTAGGTGACTCCTGGGAGTATGTAGACCAGGAATGGGCAACTGGCGGTGGCACGTGGGCCACACTTTGAATGTCCCCTTGATGAACACCTTCCCCCACCTCCACCCCTCGGGGCCCCCTGTATATCTAGGTCCGCCTGTATGGGCACATTGTGCAGGACGTCCATACATCAACCCATTGAAAAGAGACCAGAGAAAAGGTTACAAAGCCATTTCCGAGACTCTGGGGCTTCACCAAACCATTGTCAGAGTCATTATCCACAATGGATAAAACTGGGAACAGGTAACCATTCCCAGGAGTTGTTGACCAGCTCAAATTACTCCAAGATTGCAGCGATGACTCATCCAGGAGATTGCAAGAGAACCTAGAACAACACACAAAGAACTCCAGATCTCGCTGGCCTCAGTTCAGGTCAGTGTTCACGACTCTACCATAAGAAAGGCACTGGCCAAAAATGGCATCCATGGGAGAGCTCTCAGGTGAAAATCACTGCTGTCCAAAAAGAACACAAAGGCTCGTCTCACATCTGCCAAAAGACATCTTGATGATCCTCAAGACTTTTGGAAAATCATTCCGTGGACTGATGAGTCAAAAATTGAACTTTTGGAAGATGTGTGGCCCATTATGGGTGGGGTAAAAACAGTGGCGGGCCGTGCATTTCAGCCTTAGGCCTTCAGTGACGTCACATACATACACAATATCGGCTCGTCAAGCAGCACTTAATTTCAGGAGCATTTAAAACCATCAGGTACATATTCCCAATTAAGAGCAGGAAACTAAATTTACAGATATTGTCAAAAATAAAAAGATGATTTAAAAATACGAAATAAAATGCCACCCAAATTAC